TCATTCAATGTGATAGTGAAGCAAGTTCTTGGATTCAGTACAGAAGATCCACAAAGTGCAACAATTCTACAAGATTTTCTGTCATTTATGAGAGGGCTAATTTCTTTACCACTCTACATACCTGGAACTCCATATGCAAGAGCTGTGCAGGCTCTCTACATCCACTTATCAATATGTCACTTCATTCTTTTACTTAATAAAATTAAAAGCATAGTCATTGTTTATTTTAGATATGTTTTTGTTGCAAAATGATTAAAATAGGCTTGAGGTATTTCAAATGGGCCAGTGTCCAGCTCCTCGATCCTCTCCTCAAGCCTCTCATCTTTAGCCCTTGCCGTTGACAGGCCATTCTCCCGCTTAGAACGAAGGGTTCTGTTCACCAGCTCGAGGATCTCCACCTTCCTCTGAGCATCCAACCAAGAAGACTCTGCCTGCTCGAGCTCCTCATGTTTCTCGGCAATTTCACCCCTAAGAGCCTCCATCTGAAATTGGCACTCATCTAACTGGCCTTGCAGTTGGACTACTTGAGCTCGAAGGTCGCTACATTGGGCCTCTACACCCTTACTGAGCTCCAGCTCCTCTTCCTTGGCCCTCAACATTCCCTCGAGGACGCTGAATTTTTCCACGGCCGCCATTAGCTCCTCATCTTTCTTCGTCAAATCTTCTCTTAAGGCCCACACGTCGACTCCCTCACGAAGCCGATCCTGAAGCTCTCGGTATACTTTCCTGCGGTACTTGGTATACTTTCCTTTCAACTTCACAAAAATCTCTTTATGCCTCTTCTCCCTCCGATCACTCTCAATTTCTAGAATAACCGTCTACAAATGGAAGAAAAGAGGTTAGAACTTAAAATAAGCTAAGGCATAAGGAAAAAGGCAGGTAGCAGTTGTACTTACCCTAAGAGCGAGGCCGGTGATGCTCTTCGACAGAGTATTGTCAGTTATCTTCTTGAGGGTCTCACCCTCGACGTTAGAACAAAAGGGACCGAGGGAAGGAACTACTTCCTCGGTGTCTACAAGAAAATCAATCCATTAGGATCGTGATGGTCCTCGAACCTCCCTCTAGTCTCACCTCGAGTTGGGTGAGCCCCTTATCGATCATCCTTAGATTGTCCACATCAATATCAGAACCCGACTCGTAGCCCTCCTCGGCGATAGTTTTTCCTCTGCCATCGGCGGGCGAAGAAACATGCATTGCTGCCTCAGAAGACGAAGCCTTCTGTTGCCTCTAAAGTACGGGGCTACTGTCAAGTCCCCCACAGAGGCCGTCTCCCCCTTGGGATGCACAGTGCATCCACGATCACCTTTTCCAATTGCAGGGCCTTAGTGCTCACCCTAACATCCTCTTTTATATGAATCGTCGTCGTCTCTCTGAGAACCAACACATCCCCTAGCAAGTCAACAACGACCGAGACATCCTCCCGGCGTCCACGGCTCTCCTCTTGTGAGGCCTTAGACCCCTAGCACCGATGGAGACCTCGTCGTCCACATCAATTAAAGAATATAGTTGAGGAGCTGAAGCAGTAGTTGGGACGGAGGTAGAATCTTGGATCGGAGCAGCTAGGACGGGGACATGTATAGAAGGCACAGTAGCCGCAACGGGGGAAGAAGTTGAAGGAGTAGCACCCCTTCTCCTAAACGAGGGCACAGGCACCCTGCTCCTTTGAGAACCCCTCTAACCGAACCTGTGAAAGGGAGAAACATAAAAGGTTACAAAGCCGATCAACATACAAAAAGAGGTAACAATCACAACCAAAAGGGAAGTTACCTGTAGAAGGGAGAGCTGATCTGAACTTCTTAAAGAAACTCAGCCAATCACGAATCCCTAGTGCATAAGGGAGAATATTCCCGACCCAGTCAGCGATACGTACGACTAGAGGGGGAGGACAGTTGTTGGCTAGAAGGAAGGAATAATTACTTTACTAGCCCAAAATGGGCGAAGCAATTCAAAAGGTAAAAATGAAAGAAATGTAGACATTTACGTGTATGATTCCAAGCCTCGGGGAAGCTGTCGGTGTTGGCTATGACGTCCTCGATTCTAACAAAAAAGAAATCGAGTGAGAACTGACGGCTGGCCTTGTCATCCATCTTCACCACCAGGCACTTGCTTCCACGGTAACGGAGGTTCAACATTGTCCCCCTTATAGAAGCTAGGAGAGAAGAGGTGCACTAAATTACGCAATGTCACCTCGACACCAGCGAGCTCAGCAAACTTGGTCAGCATCTTGATGACCTTGTAAACATAGGGGCAAAGCTGAGCAGGGCAAATGCCATAGTGGCGACAAAATTCCTCCACCAGCGGAAGGATGGGAAACGAGTAACCGACAACGAACAGGTACGCATATAGAGTGTAGTACTTGAGACGGTGAACATGCACTTCATCCTCCCAAGCGGGGATCAGTTATAAATATGGCGGGGAGGCCAAACTTAGCTTTAAATTCAGCCAACTGATTGGGCGCCATTATCGATAAGAAGGTTCCAGGCACCGCGTCCGGCGATCGATGGAGATCAAACCTGGTTTCAGGGTTGCGGGGGATGATCTCCTCCACCGAGGGAAAAGATTCATCCTCTACAGTGGCAGCTGCATTCTCCCCTTGATTAGGGAACACAACCGCCAACGAAATGGCGTGACTCCCTTCACCAACATCAGATGAAACATTCGACATGTTTATGAGAAAGTAAAGAAGGAAACTGGAAGAGAGTTTGGGATATGGAAGAGAGCAAAGATATAGAGAAGAGAGGTTCAGAGACAAAGTTTGAAGTCTCGAAAGTTTGGGAGAGTAAAAATTTCGAATTCGGGTTTGGCTATCCCTATTTATAGAGATTGAAGCACCAAATCCGATACGGTTTGTCATAATGGGCACTAAACCTAAAACGGCTCATCATAATTAGCACTGGAATCGAAAGAGAAGATCCCATCAAAGGTCACACGCAAATCGACGCAATGCATCGGTAATAAACATCATCATGACGCATGACATCACCCCCTCTCTTGGACCAGATGGCTCCAACAAATCACTTGGGAAATTTAAGGGATTTGACATACGCGACCCACGGAGAGCCACATCGCCTGCTCGCTACAACGATTACGACCCATGTTATCTGTTCAACAAGCTCGACCATGAATAACATTATCCGCTCATCGAACTCGCTCGCGAGGATGACCTCAACAAGCGGAGGGACTAACTGTATAGGCCAAAATTTATCTTAGTTATGTTTAAACCATATCAGCATTAAGAGGGCCTTCAAGAGCTGCCACGTATCACCGGTATGACTTCGACAAAAACCATTTTCAAGGTCAAAGTGATCTAACAAGAAATGAAGCGTGGGGTCGTGAATGAGAGCACTCTTCTTAGACAGAGTAATAACAGCTAGTTTTAGGATAAGATTTTAAAGAGAATATTCTAGTGAATATTCTCTAGATCTGTACTATTAAGGTTTCGTGGCACATGTTCCCTTATAAATAGAAATAGACATAGTTATAGGGAACATGGAACATTCATTTGTAAGACAACACATTGACATTCTCTGAAGATTTTTGCTTTATTATACACATACAAAATATACCTTTTTCTAGAGTTGTTGTCTAACTTAGCTCCCACGATCCAAGGAGAATCCGAATATTTAAAGGCTCATCAATCATTCATCATTGTCAGAAAGAATACCAAAGAATCTCACCCTTTTCGGGTGCCTCACACATTTTTATTTACTTACGTGTCATTTATTACTATTTATTATTATTTAATGATACCTCCTTCATTTTTGGATCATTGAATATAGCAGTGTTGCCACCATTTATTGCTACTTAGATAATACCCGTATTATCTTACTACAAAATCGGTAATAATATCTTTTGGATACTAATATTGGCTAAGATTAACTCTATTTTATTAGAAAATCTAATTGTTTAAACCTAAATCTAAATTTTGGGTAAAACAATTTGCTAATTTCCTTAACCCCTCGCATGCATCTGTTGCATAGGTGTGAAGAGGAAGAAACCACTCTTCAGATGGGTAAAGCTCAATATTGATGGTAGGAAGCTGGAGGATGGAATGATAGGAGCTAGTGGCATACTAAGGGATCATATATATAGGGGTGATATCACGGCCGACCTTCGTACAAGGGGTTTGCAATGGAACTAGCAATCTCGTGGAAGCTACATCAGTAGTTCTTATCGGGCTTAAATGGTGCTATGCTAATGGCTATGACAGAGTTATCTCGGAGTGTGACTCAAAATTAGTGATAGATATATTGAATGGGAAATTAATAAGAGTGATAGATATATTGAATGGGATCCAAACAGTGTTCAATTCAATGAATTGTGGAAAAGCAATCAATTGATTCATGGGAAGGTGATTATTGGTGCAGGCAGTGTACAATTCTACTTTACAGCAGTTTATGGTCTTCATAATGTTGAAGATAGGAAAGTATTATGGCAGGAACTACAAGGAATCCAGAATGGAATTGATGGGGCTTGGATAGCAATGGGAGATTATAATGCAGTGCTGGGAGTTGATGACAGGAAAAGTGATAATCCAGTACAAGAAGTGGAAATAAGGGATTTTAGGTCATGTTAAACAATGACATGAATGAACTAAAATATATAGGGAGAAAATTCACGTGGACAAATAGCCATGTGTGGAGTAAAATAGATAAAGCCATTTTCAATGTAGAATGGATGACAACAATGAAGCAATTGGAGCGGTGGTGATGGAACCATTCATATCTGATCATACTCCTCTATGTCTACATTTTGAGGAAACAGGTAAGGATGGTCCAAAGCCATATAGATTCTACAATTATGTTGCTGAGCATCCAGAATTCCTAAAAGTGGTGGAAAAGGCATGGAATACATCTAATCAATGGCAAGGAATGGAAAGAGTGTGGTAGAAACTTAAAGTAGTCAAGCAAGAACTGAAGAAGATGCATACAGAGGAGTTCTAAAAAGTTAGAGAGACAGTGCAAACAATTAGAAAGCAGCTGCAGGAGACACAAGAGAAAATGCAGGATCCAAATTATCAAACAGATTTATTTGATATTGAGAAGAAGCTAAGAGGGAACCTGGAGAAATGGGGAATGATAGAGGAGAGCATTATGAGACAGAAATCAAGAACAAAATGGTTGAAGCTTGGGGATTCTAATAGTGCCTATTTCCATGCTTGTATGAAGAATAGAATTTCTACAAATAATATTAAAGCCTTTGTGAATCAGGATGGTAAGCTGTTGCAGAATGATCAAGAGGTGGAGGAGGAAGTTGTGGGATTCTATGAAAAGCTTCTAGGGAATGCTGCTGAACAAATGCAAATGATCAATCCAACAGTAATGAAAAATGGAACAATCCTGACAAGAGATCAACAGATGAAGCTAATTGAGCCAATTTCCACAGAGGAGATCTGTAATGCAATGAATGACATTGATGACCACAAAGCCCCAGGATGTGATGGTTTCAATGCATGTTTCTTTAAGAAAGCATGCTCAATAGTAGGAGAAGAAATAATTCAAGCAACAAAATAGTTTTTTGACACTGGAGAGATTTATAAGCCAATGAATTGCACTGCTGTGACATTGATCCCAAAAGTGAAGAGTCCAACCTCAATCAAAGAGTATAGACCTATATCTTGTTGTACTGTGCTGTACAAGGTGATATCAAAGGTAATCACTACAAGGTTGCAGATGGTTATGGACAGCCTTATTGGTCTAAGTCAGGCTGCATTTGTACCAGGAAGAGTTATATCTGACAACATTATCCTAAGACATGAATTGGTAAAGGGCTATGGAAGGAAGGGCATTACTCCAAGATATATGATCAAACTAGATATGCAAAAGGCTTATGACTCATTGGAGTGGGGTTTCTTAAAACAGGTCTTGATAACAATGAACTTCCCTGCAAGATTTGTGCAGTGGATCATGAAGTTCCTGTCTATTGTCTCATATTCTATACAGATAAATGGCAGGCCTACCTGTCCTTTCCCAGCAAGAAAAGGGCTAAGACAAGGGGATCCACTATCTCCATTCTTGTTTGTCTTAGCTATGGATTACCTAAGTAGGCTACTCAGAACTTTGAAGAACCAACCTGATTTTAACTACCATCCAAGATGTGAGAAGCTGCATATTATTCAGCTGGGCTTTGCTGATGATCTGTTGTTATTCTGCAGGGGTGATGAAGTATCTATCCATATGCTATATAATTGTTTCATGGAATTCTCAAAGGTGTCAGGGCTGAAGGCAAATAAGAACAAGAGTTCTATATACTTTGGGGGTGTGAGCATAACTGTACAGCAGAATGTTATGGATAAGATGGGGTTTCCTAAAGGAGAGATGCCTATAAGATATTTGGGAGTTCCATTAAACACAAAAAGGATGTCAGTCATACAATTCCAACCACTGCTAGACATGATGCTTGGCAGAATAACATCATGGACTACAAAATTCCTTTCATATGCTGGCCGGATCCAGTTGATTAAGAGTGTGCTGTTATCAATCCAAATATATTGGTCCCAAATATTTGTCTTCCCAAAGAAGGTGATCCATCTCATAGAAGCTATATGCAGGAAGTCCTTATGGACTGGGGGGATTGATGTGACAAAAAAAGCTTTAGTGGCATGGGAAAAACTGTGTCAAGCAAAAGCTAATGGGGGTTGGAATTTGCTAGACATTGAATTGTGGACAAAGCAGCCATATGTAAACTGCTATGGAACTTAGCTCAAAAAAAGGACAAGCTATGGGTGTAGTGGATTAATACTTATTATGGGAAAGAGCTATAAAATATATAGAAACTAAGCAAGCTTCATGGCTGGTGAAGAAGATTCTGAGGGCTAAGCAGTACATGATAGAGGCTGTGATCAACTTGGAAGGGACATTCAAGAAGAAGCACATAACCATCACCAATATATACAAGATGTTAAGGAATGATCAACAGAAGGTGCCTTGGAGGAAGCTGATATGTAATAATGGAGGAATGCCAAAGTGGAATTTTATATTATACATGGCTATACTGGGCAAGCTGAATACCAGAGATAGACTAGCAAGATGGGAAGTAACAAATGAGCTACTATGTCCTATGTGTAATGTAGAAGAGGAAAGCGTAGAACACTTGTTCTTCAAGTGTACATTTGCAGCAGCAATTTGGAGTAAGATACTGCACTGGATGGGTGTTAACAGGCAAACGATGAAATGGAGTCAAGAAATAGAATGGGCATGCAGCAATGCAAAAAGCAGATCAGCAAATGCTGAAATCTACAGAATAGCAATAGCAGGTTGTGTCTATCACGTGTGGCAGGAGAGAAACCACAGAATTTTTCGAGCTAAACAAAAGCAAGCAGGGATACTGATCAAGCAAACTATACAAATGATATGTGGAAGGGGCTATACGTTGCCAAGACTAAGAAGAAGGCTTGAAGAGTTGAATTTCTATCCATGAGGGATAATGAAGTACTGACAATGTAATTTGAATCGTAACCTGATAGTCAGTAGGTAGGATAGGAGATTTGATGAAACTAAGTCTGGGATGATGTCCAGACTTAGTGTTTGTTTGATTTGAGCTGTAATTTCGTGAATAAATATATATATTTAACGACATGAGAGAGAGACGTCACAAAGAAAATGAAAGCCTTAACTAATTTCTTTGTACATCAATCTCATTCAAAAATCACAAACAATATTGCAGTCCAATTCTCAATCAAAACCAAACAAATGAAGGAATTTTATGAAGGGAGTATAATAGCACTATGAAAAGATATCTAGTATCCCTTCCCCATTACAACATACACAATATTTTGATAATATACAAACCAAATGCATGCAATTGTTAGTTGAGTTATAAACAATGTTCATTTCACACGCTGGATGACAAGTTTGTAGTTATGTCAATTTCTTCTAACTTATGTTGGCTCAAATCCTTGCTACTAGCACACTTCATGGGTATTTTGCAATCCTCCTTATCACAAGCACTAAGCACTTCCTCTGCATGCCATGTCAAAACAATATCCTTTAAGTATGGTCTTACCTCCTCCTCAAAAAACTTTGTGTACTCTAGTGAGTCACCCGAGATCTTTGAGAACTTAACCACGGCCACTTCTGGAGCCACCTTGAACACCTCGATGGTCACCAATAATCGCGCTTTCCGGCCCTCCGAGGGACCTTGTAGCCTCAAGGTTGAGCCATTGACTCTTGCAACCCTAAAGTTCAACTTATTGGCCAATAATTGAATCTTGGCCATAATAATAGTGGCCGAGCACCTCGATGTAAAAATGGACTCCGTCTTCTTCTTGTTCTCGAACAAAGTCGATAAATTGGCTCCAGCTGACATTGATGAGATTAATTCAAAAGCATTCAATAAGGCTGGGGAGGATGGTGATTTTATCATCCCTCCATGCTTTAATTCCTCTCTTCCAAACTTATCTAACATGGAAAATGTATCATGTTCATGATCAATTGATGAAATTCCATTTGGCATTGTAAAATCTTTCCTAAACCAAGGATCTTTCATTATTCCGGTTATACTAATCCTTTTTTGTGGGTTAGGAACCAATATTTTAGATATTAAACGCTTTGCTTCTGTAGATAACCATGGGGGGAACCTATATTCAGCTTTGAAAATTTTTCTATATAGATTCATAAGGTTAAAATCTCGAAAAGGCAAACACCCTGCTAGAAGAACATATAATATGACTCCACATGACCAAATATCAGCCTTGCCACCATCATATCCTTTGTTTCTTATTATCTCAGGTGCAATATAGGCAGGAGTTCCACACTGAGTGTAAAGAAGGCCATCGTTAAGCAATTGCTCTGGTAAAGCCGATAGGCCGAAATCAGTGACCTTCAAATTCTCATTCTCATCAAGAAGAAGATTTTCTGGTTTGAGATCACGATGAGAAACTCCACAACTGTGGCAAAATTCAACAGCACTTATCAACTGCTGAAAGTATTTTCGAGCCACGTCTTCTGTGAGCCTTCCTTTGGCTACTTTTGCAAAGAGTTCGCCACCCTTTACGTATTCCATGACAATGAAGATCTTGGTTTTTGTTGCCATGACTTCTTTGAGCTCGACAATGTTTGGATGGCGAACGAGGCGCATAACGGAGATTTCCCTCTTGATTTGCTCCATCATTTCTGGTGACTTGACTATTTCTTTCTTGATCACTTTGATCGCCACATTTTCCCCTGTTGCTAGGTTTGTTGCATGGAAAACTTTGGCGAACGTGCCTTTGCCTAATTCCTTCCCTGTTTCATATTTGCCAAACAATATTTTCTTCTCCATTATTTCAAAATCTCGCCAAAATGTTTTGAATAAAGAATATTACTATATATCCGTCACTGATGATGATACTTTCTTTTTTTGGTTTTAAATAATGGCTAGAGAATTTGGAGAATCAACTCCTTGAGCCTGTTGTGAGAAAGAGAAGTAGTTGGAAGCTGATGATCAATGAAGTCAGTTTGGTAGAAATGCTGATGATTTTTGTTGATTCCACAGCTGAAAAGAGTTTGAAAGGACATTGAACAGAGAATGATATTGTTGTTTGTTGAAAGTAAAATAGCCTTTTGGAGAAGGCTAAAGAAGAATGCAAAGATAATAATGGGAAGAGAGAGTGAGGAATAAGAATATATAAGGAATGTTCAACTAAGAAGTTTGTATAACATTTGATAAAGACCATTTCCAAATATAATCTTATAAAACATGCGCGTGGTATAGTTGATAAACCTACGCAATGATGAGCTGTACTTCAAAGTCAGACATTAAATTCTGAATTATTCTTTTTAATAATGCCCTTAGTGGGTCACCTCTTATTTTGCAAAGAAAAAGTCTTCATTGTTTACTCATAGTTCATGGACAAATCTAAGACTCTAAAAAAAGCAGGCAGTTAATTCCTTTTTTTCTTCAAAAGATAATATATATATATATATATATACTCCAGTTATATTATTAGTACATATGACATACTAGAGGATCATTTGTCGAATGCAGCCATTTGTCATGCCAAGTGTTCCTTGTTATTATTGCCATTTTCAATCAATAATTACCCAACTAATGCCTTCCTTGCATAGTTTCTATCCTACAAGAAGCTTTCCCAAATATAGGAGTTTTTTTAATTTTCTGTGGTTGTTGAGGTGTATGTGTGACCAAGCACTTAGCTACTTTGTTTAACTTTAATTAATTAAAAGGAACAACAGAATCCAAACAAGTGTTATCGCCGGAATTTCAAGAATAATGATTTTGTTAATTCTAGGTCATTTTCTTTGTTTTTCCTTCTCCTTTTTGGTTGTTGACGATATCAGTTTATTGAGGATAAGAATGACATAATTGTTATAACAAGGCTATTGGCATAGATAAGAAAAGGACATGATTATAAAGATGACGCGGCTCCTAGTCTAGAAATCCTTGTCCCTTTACGAAATTAATACTACATGGGCAATTAAATAGCATTTAATTTTGTAATGAAACAGAGAATCCATAGAAGTGCTAACATTTTGGCACGTAATATGCAAAAGTTCTAACTAATTGGTTTTATTCTTACAGGATATGTCAAGTATCTCACAGTTCGTCGTTGCTGAACCATCACAAATGGATAAAGTATCTCACAGTTTTATTTTTCTGGGGTATAAAGTATATACCGGTAATTGTTTGAGAAATGATGTGGTAGGCCACTACTTTTTATATATCCTTAAATTATTGTGGTTGTATAAGAAACTTTGATTATCAACACTTAATTATAATTACTCCACGCTTACTTCTCTGCAATATTCGATTTGAACCATTTGTGGATAATCAAACATGACGACAGTTTTGGTCAAACTCAAGATTATTATCACAGATATGCGGGTATCAGAATATATATAATGTTAGTATTGATCTACTGATATATATTTGGACAGAGTGGGTGTGATGCATGCGCGTGTTTAATGCGTAATAAAGTTGCTAACAAAGACGTTCTAAATTAGGGTTAAATAAAATTTATTTACTTTATATGGCGAATAAAGAGCAAACATATTTGTCTCACATCGGATTTTCCATAGAAATTTATGGGAAACGCCAAATTATAAACATGGTATTGTACAAAAGTTGAGAGATTATGATCGTTTTTGTCGAACGGAAAAAGAAGAGGAGAAAGTTACCAAGTCAGCCTGCTGACAATATTGCTAAACAGAGATTTACATCATTCTTTTATTAGTTGTTTGTTTGATCATAAAAAGCTCAACATTTCAATTCCTTTTCATTAACCTCAAGAGTCATTATGAAAAGCTGTTGTAAACATACTTTCCCTTGTAATACCACCCCCTATGAACGGCAATTTTTTTTTTTCTTTGGGTCAAAATCAATTCCAATAGACAAACCACGTTAGAAGAAAAATCGTTGTTAAACTTTAAGGAGGGAAAGAGAGAGAGCCAGGGATCTAATATTATATAGGCAAAAAATCCAGAGGTATTAATTGCCATGTATTTGTGCAACTAATGCTTCATCTGCATCCAAATCTTTGTATCTTAGTAAATGAAACAAAGCGTTGACTTCGTTGCTGAAACTTTTCCTAATTTTGAAAATTACTGTTCTTTTCGTCTTTAATTAGAGTCTGTTTGAGAGCTTTATGTCTTACGTAGTAACTTTTACTGGATCTTTAGTACGATGATCTTTCGTTTACATATTCCCAGATTTTCTATACGAAGATTATATCAAACAGCCACCAATGGATTATAACTATAATTGGTCTGATTGGAGTTCCAATCTCCACTATCTGAAGTACATCTTGCTACTTCTCCCTCTTCTCTTTTTGGTTTTGTTTTGCATTGTCTTTTTTAACCATTAAGAAAATGTTTCATGGTCACCTTCTCATTAATCATTCTCCACGAATTGCTTTATTATTATTACTGCAAACTTATTAGTGGTTATTTCTTGCACAAGTGGTGTCAGCCTTGTTGGGAAGTATGTCTGGCTAATAGAAAGAAAAAAGTATTTAAAAGAGAAAAGTAATTAATTGCACAAGACAAGACAAGATTTACGTGGTTCGGCAATTTTTGTCTACTCCACAGCCACACAAAGAATAGCTTGTATACTGTCGAAATTGTATGCCTCCGATCTATGGCTCGAGGGGACATTTTGAGCCCGAGTTCGGCAAGGTCGAGTTCGAGCTCGAGGGACCAGATCCAAGCTCGAGCACAGAGTGCAATGCCCGAAGACTGAAGCACGACGTACACCGAGGCTGAGTATGCTCGATCCCGAAATTGTACCGTTGAGGATTTGTAACAGAATGAGCTAGATTCCTGCCACGTCCCCAAGATCAGGGCGCAAATCCCGGAATATGATTGTACGATTCCGTACTAGGCGGCTAGACAGCTGTATCGGGAATATTCCCTACTGTAAATAGAAATATTCCATATTTAGGATTCCCCTATTATATAAAGGGGACCCCAATCATTTGTAACGACACATAATCATTGAGAAAAGAATATACTCTCCGCTTTCTGTCTACTATTCATCAGCATCGTCCTTTAGCTCTACTGTTCTTACTTTACTTTTCTTACTGAATCGTTCTTGTTGTTCTAAGCCACCTCGAGGTCACTAAGCTCGAGGTCACCGCTGTCAAGCAACATTGGTTTGATTCACTTGTCTCTTTCATTTCTACTTCATATTTCTTGATCATTAATTGGTATTGAATCTAATCACGTATCTTTAAAACCAAAAATCAAATTTAATTGTTACTCGTATTTTCGAGGTAAACAGTTTGCGCCCACCGTGGGGCTAAAGAGAATAGTGATTATTTATTTACTGATTCTCATCACACACGATATTCTTACACTTTTTCTTGTCAAGAATTTTTTATTCTCAGGCTGAAACATGTCTAGCTCACAAAGTGCACCTGTTCATGACAACGAAGGTCTTGGTGAGAATAACAATATAGGGGTCGGTATACCACCGATAAACCCTGGGAAAGTGCCAAACATCGAACCAGATGATGTTAGTTCACATATTTCTCTAAACGCGGATTTAGGCACAGACCCCGGAGGGAGTGTACGCAGGGAAGCCCGACCTGGTGGCCAAGGAACACAAGGAGTGGGTGATGGGGGAATCAGCCTCCAAGTGATATTCGAGATGCTGCAAGCTCAACAGATCGACATTGCTCAACTTCAAAGTCAAAATAAGACTCCGAGTATAGCTGAATCGGAAAAAACTCGACGTGCTAGACCGACGCCTGCGAGGTCAAATGAAAATGGCTCGGGGACTGCCCCATTATTATGAGAATGCTCGAAGAGCTCACCAAGAGGATAAAATTTGGGGAAAAGAAGATCGAGGACAATGACAAGAAGGTGGAGACTTATAACTCCCGTGTTGATCAAATACCAGGGGCACCCCCGATCTCGAAGTGATTGGATGCCAAGAAATTCGTACAAAGGTCGTTCCCTCCGAGTGCGGCTCCGAAGCCCACTATATGCCCGATATACGTAAATACAATGGAACCTTTGACCCAAATGAACACATTACTTCTTACACATGCGCCATAAAGGGAAACGACTTGGAAGACGACGTAATTGAGTTTGTACTGCTGAAGAAGTTCGGGAGACTCTATCGAAGGGAGCCTTAATATGGTATCATAAATTAACCCCTAATTTTATTGATTCGTTTGTTATGCTTGCAGATTCTTTTGTAAAGGCACACGCCGGAGCCATCAAAATCGCAACAAGAAAGTCGGACCTTTTCAAGATAAGGCAGAAAAATAACGAAATGCTCAGGGAGTTCGTATCTCGATTCCAAGCGGAGAGAATGGATTTGCCTCCGGTCACCTATGACTGGGTTGTTCAAGCTTTCACTCAAGGTATCAACACTCGGAGTTCCATAGCGGTGCAGCAGTTGAAGCAAAGTTTAATTGAGTACCCGGCTATCACTTGGGCCGACGTACATAATCGGTATCAGTCGAAGATTAGAGTCGAAGACGATCAACTAGGGACTCCTTCGGGGTCCGTTTATCCTAGCAGGATCATGGATAGGATCAAAAAGGATATTGATCGAAACCTGAGGTCGAATAGAGATCGATACCAACCGTACAACGGGGACTACAAAGGCAGCGGTTCCAGGCAAAGCTTCACACAAAATGAGAGGAGAAATGATCGAGGTCAAAACTCACGGGGGCTTGATGCCGAGGAAGATCACGTTAAGTATCCCAAGTTCGAATAAAGTAAGACCCCAGTCCTATTTTTTCTATTCTTTCGACTAACACTTGCAGGCTATCGATAAGGATCGGCATGAGGCTTTGTATCTTGAAGCACGTGTTGCACTGTTTTTCCCTTAAGACCGATTTTTGTCCCAAATGGGTTTTTCCGGTGAGGTTTTTAACGAGGCAACCGTCGTTCGTGCTAACTAAAAGTAATTGAACGGTATCCGAGATCCCACACAATAGGCCTCGAATACTGGAGGGAATTACCTTTGAATGTCTGTTCTCCAACAAGGAAATCACTTCGTGACAGCGTGCCTCGATAGGAAAGTGTTGTAAGGGCCAAACGGTCAGATGAACCGTGCCCATGTAGGTTACTCGAGCCCTGGACACCAAGCATGCGCGCATGTACAATCATCTATCAAGAGAAGTACTTTTCCTTGTCGATATCCACTGCCTTTATAAAATTTTCAT